ACTGTAACTGTTCAACACCCACACACACGTAAACAGCTGGTTTATCACTGTATGATACTGTCCGAATCACCCTTGCATAATTATATAATAGGTAGATAATATAAGCCGGAGATACGCCACCGACGAGCCGGTCCACTTAAAATAAATTAACGCAGCCGCCGTTTTCCCACTAGTTAGTTGCTAAAAACCATATTTTACTTGAGCGAATAGCCGTAAGTTATAAATTATATTGTGAGTCGCGAATCGCCGTGTATTGTATCATTACCAGGCGTAAATCGCCATTGCTTGTTTTACATTATTATTAATTCGTAAGAAGCGAATCAGCAGTATATTATAAATATTTTTTTTGGTCAATGCTAATTACCGAGTATATTATTATAAGGGTTTGAAAATTTCACGAAATTCAAAATTTTGAAATATTTCAGTAATTTAATAAATTTTGTTTTATTTTTAAATAAATTTTTGTCATAAATTACCTTCATAATTGTATGGTACCTATATGTATACATAACCTTTGGTATTATACATTTAAAATGATATTCAAAATTTTTGAATATTTTAATGTTTAAATGATACAAGTTGGTATACAATATTATACATATATATTGTGTACGTACTGAATTCTTACATTAGAATTTAGAACACTGAACATTGTGTAAAAAAAATCTAAAAAATGTGTTTTTATTTGTGTTAAAAAAAATTTTGATGTTTCGAGTTTTTGTGAAATATTTCACATGAAATATTTTATACTTCAAACACTATTTATTATTATTGTGAGCCATAAAGGACAACTTATATATATTATTCAAATTTATTTTATTCTTTTGCCTGCTGTTCCACTATTAAAGCTATTATCGCAGCAGCTGGCCAGACTGATCTCCGCAAAACTGTGAGTTTTTTTATTATTATAATTTAAATACCTTGATATTGCTGTGATTTTTATATAGTATTTGTATGCGTGATGATTATTTTATTTGTGTACTAGCTGCCCTTGTGCCTCGATTCCGGGAGTTGTGGAAGCCACCCCCGGCGCCTTCGAGGTGGTCGAGTGAAAATCGTTTCACGGGAAATTCGAAAAGAAATTAAACCGTACCGAAAACTGTGACTTGGAGTGAAGAGTTGTATAGTTTTTGAGTGTAGGTCTTTGCTCGTCTGGTGTAATACCGTGCCCCGCTGTATGCCCGGTTCTGTTTTGTTGACTGTATAAGAAATTAGAAATTGCGAATAACTGTAATCGAATGTCTAGCCATCAATCATCGCTCTATGCAAATCTGAGTTATAGGGCATGTGTGTATGACGGATTGGATGCATGACCCGCGTCGCGTGCTAGATTCAAGTGAAAAAATGGGAAATTCAAAAAGAAATTAAGTCGTATAGCTGCCGCAATTTTTGAGTGTCTAGGAAGTCAGTCACCCGGCTCGATTTTGAGCGTAGTCTGGTAGGTAGGCAATCCCACTTTGTCGTATAGCAGACGACGTGCAACGGTCGGGTAACACGATGAGGCATGCAATCCGGATACTGTGACTGAGTGTCTAGCGAGGGTTATAAGATATCTCAGCGAAAGCAATTTCGGCGAAAGAGATTACTGCGAAACTTTTTCGGTGAATGGGTATATTGGCGAATGGATGTATCGGCGAACGAATATATTGGCGAAATTACATTAAACACAAATATTTAAATATACGTAGCACAGAGTTTGTTTCTAATTTAATACGTCAATAAATTCCTATAAAAAACAACTATTCTCCATCACTTTTCCTATTTGCTTATTGTACATATTTTGCTACACAATTTTGTACATTTTCTATTTTAATAAAAAAAAAAAATAAGTTATCAATTTGGAAGATGTTTGAAGGTCTACAAAGGGAGGTCGGGCTAGCTAAATTAAAAGTGGTACACATTGAGGCTGGCAAAGAAAAAAAGCAGAAATTAAAATGAAAAAAAACCACAGAAAATATAAAAACGAAGGTGGAAAATTAATCAAACCAAGACATAATACCATATTTAAAAGTTTGGCATACAATATTGACTTTTAAATTTTTAGTATTATTTTTATTACAATATTATTTATATTTATATTATTTTTATTGACTAAATTATTTAATTAAGAATGTGGACTTATACATTTTTACAAAGTAATTATGGTAAGTATATATGGTCCTAGAACGTCTCTTTTTATTTAAGTTATTATTGACTAAATTATTGAATTATATAATATGTAATTTATATTTTCGGTTAGGTTTTGTGGTTTCGAAAATATATCCATTCGCCGATATATTCGTTCGTCGATACGTCCATTCACCGATATAACCGTTCGCTGGTATATCCATTCGCCGAAAAATATTCGCCAAGATGTCTTTCGCCGAAATGGATTTCGCCGAATTGGCCAGTTACCTCTAGCGGTCTCTCCCAGTCTGGTGTATGCCCGGTTCTGTTTTGTTGACTGTTTAATAAATTAGGAATCGCGAATAATAAATTGTAATCGAATGTCTAGCTATCAATCATCGTGTATGCAAATCTATGAGTTATAGGGCATCTGTGTATGGCGGATTGGATACATGACCCATCGCATGCCTTGTTCTTTTGTACGTGCAAAAAGGATAAATGCATAACGAAAACGGTAATTGTGTGTCTAGCTTTCAGTCCACAACCGGTTCAAATTTGTGCGTTTACTGGGCATACCTCCTTACTTCGATAGTCTGATAATGTATTATTGTAGGAGAAAATGTTAAAGCCGAATGTCAATTGAGTAAAAAGGTTAAGTAGTCGATTTAAAGGCAACCTGCATACTTCCCAGGTATATAGGTGTCTGTTTTCGAACGACCTGTGCATACCAAATTAAATTAAAACGTTCCATAAAGCTAATTAAATGCTCTAAATTACTTATATAAACACCTGTAGGTGTGGCGTACCTATCATAACATTATTACTGTTCATAAGTACTTATTAAGTAAAGTAAGAATATATGTGTAGCCTATAAAACATCAGTTAAATGTATCATGTTGTAGATATGTGTGTTGTGCACATGCTTATAGCTTTTGGTTTTTAAATGTGGTTTTAATACTATCAATCACTCATATATAAGTAAGTAGTAATGTATAATAATAATAAAAATAATAAATATGAACATGGATTATTTGTTTATTAGTTATTTATTTATTTATTTATTTCAAACATTACGGGCAGAGCCCAATATTACATTACAAGTGTACACTAAGTATAAAATTACATTTAAATATTTAAATATTAATATTTACATTTTTAATAGAACAGTAAATAACAATTATAAAAATAAGATTAGTTTAGGTAGGGAATGATGGTTGTTCATTTGCTATGCGCATCATACGATAGATAGGATTATTACGGCCGTAGTTTGTAGAACAATTTGGGATGGAGAAGGTTGTATAAGAACGGAGGGAACGCTGTGGTACTTTAAAATTGATACTGGAGAGAAGAGTGGGGGCGTCTATTGATCCGTCCAAGAGCTTTCGTAAAAATGATAGATTAGCAGTTGCTCTTCTATCAACCAGTGAAGTTAGATGTAGTTCAGTGAGCACGTAGTAGTCATGAGGGACATGATTTATCTTAAGTACATAGGCAACAAATGATAAGAAGCGTCTTTGCACACGCTCTAGTTGGAGGGAGCTAGAGGTTGTATGTGGATCCCGTAAGACGGAGCCATATTCTACAATAGATCTAACTAAGGAACAATAGAGCACTTTTATCGATGATTCTAGCTTGAATTCGGAAGCTATTCGCTTCAAAAATCCTAGCACTTTTAGTGCCCTACAACACGAAGATTCAATGTGTGAGTGAAAATCCAGAGTAGGGTTGTAAAGTATACCTAGGTCTTTCACGCTCGTGACTGATACAAGGGAAGAATCATAAATCTTGTACTGGAAGGGGATAACAGATCGACTTCTAGTGAACTACATAGTTAGACACTTCTTCACATTAAGACTAAGTCCTAGTGAACATAAGTAGGAAGCCACATTGTCTAAATTAGATTGAAGAAAGTGACATTCATCTATAGATCTAATTTTCTGGAACAGCTTGAGGTCGTCTGCAAAAACAATGAATTTGCAGTTTGGTATGATTTTTTTTATTCCATTTAAGAATAGAGTAAGTGGCCACCTTGTGGAACACCGGATGGTACGAAAGACACCGATGATTTATGCCCATTGGTCTTAATCCATTGTAATTTGTTGGATAAATACGACCTGAACAAAGACAAGAGGGGATCGCCAAAGCCTGTCTTGTAAAGAACTTGGACAAGAGCTGAGTGGTCTACACGGTCAAATGCCTTTGACAAGTCCGTATATATTGTATCTACCTGGAGGTTTTTTTCAAAGGCCTCAAAGATATACTTGTTAAAGATCATAGAGTTCGTTATTGTGGAGCGGCCGGGTCTGAAGCCATGTTGTTCATCAATCAGTACAGAGTTCACAGATGGTTGAATACTCTGGAGGACAAGTGAATCGAACAGCTTAGCTAAATGGGATAATATAGAGATTGGTCTATAGTTCTTAACGTCGGATTTGTCACCTGATTTATGTATTGGAGAAACAAAACTCATTTTCCATATAGAAGGGTAAACTCCTTCATCAATTGAGCGTCGGAAAAGTAGCAGTAGAGGAAAGCTAAAGGAATTTCGAATATTGTACAAGTAAATGCCAGAAAGCCCGTCAGGACCAACTAATTTTAAGTTCTTTAGCTTATCCAGACCTGCTTCAATATCTACGATGCTAATGCTAGAGTTGCTTGGTATATCATGTTGGAGAAATTGCATATCGAATGTATTACTAGTATTGGATGTGTAAGCAGAGTTGAAGTGTGAAGCAAAAACATTGGAAATCTTTTCGGGGCCGGTGCAAGAGGAGCCATTTAAATGGACTAAATGGGGGCATGGTAAGAGCCTGCACGTGGCGCCCCCTGCATAGCGATATTTCTAAACCAGAATTTATCGCTAACCAATCTTACCGACCCCGGACGGATCTCAAATGTCAACCAAAACACCAAAACGGTCCTTTTCAGGACCAGCCCTCATAACGACTTCAATAAATATCGAAGGATTCTCAAACAATATAAGCGACATCTTACAAGAACTACGCCAAAAAAATACATGCGACGTCATATGCGTTCAAGAAACACACCGAGACAAGGAAAATATCCGTCCGAAGATAAAGGGAATGAAGTTGGCAATAGAGAGACCACATAAGAAATACGGCAGTACGATATTTGTAAGAGATAATCTAAAGATCCTCTCAACAAGTCATACAGAAACCAACGACATAGAAATCCTCACAATAGAACTTACAAACTGCACTGTCACATCAGTATACAAACCGCCCAATATCCCATTTAAATTTACAAAGCCAACACATTTTTAAAACCAAAGAACAAAAATTGTTATTGGCGATTTCAACAGTCACAACAGCGCCTGGGGCTATAACGAAACAAACGAAGATGGAGAAGAAGTAGAAAGATGGACAGAGGCAAATGACCTAACATTAGTACACGATACAAAGCTCCCATCGTCGTTTAATAGCGGCAGATGGAGAAGAGGGTATAACCCAGACATAATCTTTGTAAGCAGAAGTATCAAACAACAATGCAAAAAGAAAGTCGAAGCACCAATACCAAATTCCCAGCACAGACC